CCCCGCCAGTAAAGAGAGACCCCGCCCCGGCCGCGCGCTGCACCCGCCCCCTTCTGCTGCGCTTGGTGCGGCGGCGCTGCGCACGGCCCACGACGACGTATGCCCGCAGGGCGAGCCGCACCCTTCTGTTTGCACACGGCGCCTTGCCCTATAAAAGCGGAGGGGGGGCAGGCAGGCGGGCGCTCCCGGTGTTCGCGGGTGGAGGAGAAGTGGTGACGGCGTTGTCCGGCCTTGCAGCCCTTAGCGGCTCTTGCCTTCTGCCTCAGTTTGTGGGTGGTCTTTATGCTTTGAGGAGCTAGATTGTCTTCTCTAGGGGTGATAGTGCTGGGAATAAACTGCTCTGTTTTTCCACGTCTCACAGAGGTGCTGAGCTTAGCCACACAGGGATAAGGCAGGTTTGTGGAGGTTCAGGTGAGGGGGAGCTCAGTTCCTCGCATGGTCCAGGGCCAGCCCCTTGAGGAATAAAGGCATGTACATTCCATGGCAGGAATGTATTTTGTTTTTACAGTTGGTGTGGAAGGCTTGTATTGTGGAGTCAGGCTCACTATGCTGAGGGTTAAAGGCTTAATGAAAATAAGACTCAACAAAAAGAAGAGCTCAGAGTGGTTGGTTGAGGATCTGTTAGGCTGGGTGCCAGTTAGCACTTCATTGCTTTAAAAGGCTCATGTTTCCTATAAATAGGGGCACTATTTTAATTACCACATACTGCAGCCTTGGTGATGGTGTGTGCTGGTGTGAAAATCAAGAATCTAATACTGGTTATTACTAGATGAAGTTGTGTGCTCTGTTTCCTTAAAACTATGGCGATTTTTTTTGACTGATACAGATTGATTATACAGGAAGTGTTTGTAGGTTCGGATACTGACTAAAGCTGAATAGCTGCAATCCAGGCTCGTGTGCACTTGCGAATGGTGGTCGTACCTGTGTTAATGCAGATGTCTTCTTAACAGATAGAAGAGTTACCTGCGAAATGGCAACTGCTCAGAAGCAAAAGAACTGCATGGTATGATTTCCTTGTGTATTTCAGCATGGTATACTACTTGAATTGGAAAGATCAGTGAAAAATTGGAAAAACCCAGGTGCTCTGTAATACTACTTCATTTGAAAATTACAGGCTAATTCAATCCTTTAACTATGAATAAAGATGCTTAATAGCAAAGTAGACTGAATCTGAACTTGGGTCATGTACCTGGTAGAAATCAGCTTTGTCCTAAAAACGTAGTAATACCAGGTGTTAGGAATACGCTTAACTTTATAAATTCCAAAAGTCATACTTTTCAATTAAATAAAAACATTAAGCAGGCATTGGACCAGATTGTAGATTGTATAGGTTTGTTGGTGTGGACAGAGATTAATTCTGTTCCTTCTCTTAACTTTCAGAGTGCAGTTGTGTTTCCTAGCAAAATATCTACTGAACAGCAGTCCCTGATGCTAGTGAAGAGGCTCCTAGCAGTGGCAGTATCTTGCATTACATACCTGAGAGGAATCTTCCCTGAGAGTGCCTATGGAACAAGATACATGGATGGTAACAGGCTGTTTTCATGAGTCTTTGCAAAATCTACTGTAGGGTTGTTACAAAATTGAGTGTTTTTGAAGCCACATTCATCGTTGAATTTTGTTAGATGCTGGTGATGTAACTTGGCAATTAAAGCTATGCCTACACCTACCAGTAATGTTAGTTTTAGTCTGCTTTTGATACATGCTACCGGGGAACGAACTTCACTTTCTTAGCACTATAGTTGTATTTTGTCCTAAGTAAATATTTAGATGTATATTCCTTTTTTTTTGAGATGTGTGTGTCAAAATTCTGAGGGAAGACAAGAACTGTCCTGGCTCTACTCAGCTGGTGAAATGGTACGTTCATTAGAGTGCTTATATAACACTTCCACAGTGTGTCAGTTCTGAAAGATACCTTTCTAGTTGTTTGCAGATACAAAGAAAAGCTCACTTGCTGTGAGTGAAAAACTGCCCAGGCAATGCTTTTAGTGCATTATGTTTACTATGTTGACTTTTTTTTTAAATGGAAAGTCAAAATGTGTGTGTTTCAGTAGAGATGCAGTTGACTTGCGCAGTTGTGTTTCTAGAAAGGCTTACGCCTCTGTGCTTAGTAGAGCACAAATCTTTGTTTACAGAGTAGTTATACTTTACATCTAGTTTCTGTGGGTGTATATGAGTGCTCAAGGGTGCATGAATGCAAAAATAACCAGTAGTTCCTCTCCAGTTGAGCAGGAGACACGGTGTTACCATTTTGCATCTTGAATTTAAAGATCTTGCTCTCAGACTTGTATAATAAAGGGGTGGTATTGGCCTTTATATTCAAAGGCAGAATTATGTCTGCAAGAGATAGTCTGACTGCCTGTACATTCACACAGTTAAGTATGCCACTTGAGACTAGAGGTACTTTGGCTTGCTTTCTGTTTAGAGTAACTTTGAGATTTGTTCATGGCTAGTGGCTGCTCTTACTGTGTAGAAAAGAACATATTAGGCCTTTACATTATATACACTTTCCTATTTTTTGTTACGTCTGTAAGGACAGTCTGTTCTTTTCAGGCTTTTACCAGTCGTAGTACGAGGTAAGGCATTGGAAATGATGCTGCATTCAGCAGAGGGGTTTTGCAGCTGCTGTCAGTGCTGAGGTGTTTGGAGATGTAGGTCTGAGTTCTGATGTGAAAGGTGAATTTAGTCATCTGCTCTTTGTCTGTGTGCCATCACTCATCGGGGGAAAGCTTCCTTTACTGTAGCCTGGAATTTCTTAATTGATCTTCTGTAGTAGGGGAAACAGAAGTGGCGCAGGGCACATTTTGCCTTGCCCTCGTGCACTGAACATTAGCAAAGGCAACCTGTGGATGCTGACAATGAAGAGCTCCCTGGTTGTTGTGTGAATGTGTGCTACCTGTTCAGAGTTTACTGGTGAGGAGCCTTTATTAATTCTGCATCCCGTACACAACAAAACTAACTTTCGCCTGTTGACCATATTCAGAAGTGTTAGAAAAAAATTAGGGTAAGTTTTGGTTCACTCTTGAACTGTTGTTTGCATGTTCTATGAAAAGCAAATTGCAACATCGAAGTAAAGGCAATGACATAATTCCTTTGTGCTTCAGAGATGTTAGTCTTCAGCTGAAGTATTTATAAACTGATTAGTGAATACTTGTGTTAGAAGATGTTTGAAAATGGTATGTGTATAACTGCATTGTTTTTACTGGTAAATTATCTACTTGGATTATATTTTTACTTCTGCGAAGAGGTTAGGATGACTTGGTGTTACAAAGGTAGTAATTGCTTGTATCACTACTAATAAGATAGAATAACGGAATAAGTATTCTTTATTGCTTTAATATTAAGAAGGCTAAATACAAGACTTTCATTTTGGGACTATTTAGTCAGAAGCCAAGCAAGTGGAAATTAGTACAATGCACAATATTATTTGATTTTTGCAGGATGTTAGGATGCTACGATGCCTTGCAGAAGAAATACGTAAGTCTTCTAGTATCATTTAGCTATTCTAAATGTACTGAAACATTAATTTATGTAAGTGCATTAGCTGCCATCATAGTTACAGGACTTTCTGGTTAGGGAATATCTGTGCTTTAGAATGTTAAAACAGCCTCAATATGGGATGCATAGACATTTCAGGATAATATCTGTGAACAGACACTTCAAGTCAGCAATACATAGGAATTTTCTTCTACCAGTTGAATAAGTCTTTTCTTAAACAGATAAGGAGTTAGGTGTGTGAAAAGGTGTCGCTTCAAACAGGCCTTAGTTGTCTATATTGGTTTCCGGAGCTAGAGACACAAAAGAGCTTGGTAAGCAGAAATGAGTTATGGAATACATTTAATGTTCCTTTTCTTTCTCTAATTATGTTTCTGACAGCTAAGAATGATTGTCCTTGCAGTAAGTATCTTTGAAAAGTAAGCAATTTTTAAAGTAGCTGTTTAGAGGTGTATACTCTCCTTACTCTTGTTTTTTCTCTTTACTTTGAAAATACAGGTCTGTACCCATCCAGAAGATCCTCAGGTAAATCTGCTAGAATATTTTACTGGCTGACTAATACTATGGATATAGTGAAACGTGTACATAAACAGTAGTTATTAACAGTTACATTAATGCGCATTAAGAAAAAGGGCATCTTAAAATATCAACTGTTAGAATTACTAGAGCTAATCAGAATTGCCACCTAGCGAGTTACCTTTGACTACCTAGTGTCGGGTTATTCTCAGGCTGGTACAAGAAACCTAGTGTTGTTGCAGAGTGAAATGTCTATAAAAATGCATAGTCCTAACTGTGCATTTATATAACTTATTTGTGAAAAACAGTGTGTTTTAACTAACCACTGGGTGTCACCAGGTCTCTGTTATATGTGAAACATTTTCATAGTGATTTAAATATGAATGAATATTCCATTCTAGAAACTTAAGCTGATGTTTCAAAATATTTTATAATGGCGATTCCTGGAAGATAATGTAGATTTTAATATTTTTAATGACAGTTATATACATTAATACTGTTAATTGTTAGAAAGCTGTATTCAGTGCATGTAAGTGGATCATACAGGACCTGTGCTATTACTATTTTATTTAAAAAGAAGGTTAATGGTTTACTAGACAGAAGCAGTAGTTTGCTTGACAGCTGATAGTTTAACAATTACTGGATTTTTTTTTTTGCAGACAATTACAGAGTGTTACCACTTCAAATTCAAGTACACCCACAATGGGCCGCTCCTGGATTTCAGCAGGTATTGTTGCTGTGATTTTATTCTGCTCTGTGGTTTTACAGTCCATTTGCATACATCTGAATGCAGAAACTTCAGATTTTATCAGTTTTATGTTTCCTTTTTTTAATTCTAGTATTAGGAAGTGTGGTGCTTGTAATCTCAGACCTTAGGCAATAAATGTGATGTCTGCTTTTAACATTCGTGGTCTGTTAAACAGTCGTCTGTCTTAATGCTAGAAACACCTTATTCTGCATAAAGAAAATCTGAATACTTCGTCCATTTTTAGTGAGAATAAAAAGAATGATTCCACAATCACCTGTGCCGACACCAAGAAAGCAAGTATCCTTCTCATTCGCAAGATTTATGTTCTGATGCAAAACCTGAGTCCATTACCAGATGACGTTTGCCTGACTATGAAGCTGTTTTATTATGATGAAGGTAGTATTTCCGTATCATCTTGATTCATTAACTGTGTTCAGCCATTTGAAAACAGTTAAAAGTAATATTTTTATGTATAATCCTTATGGTTGCTGGGAGTTGTTACATTACGGGTTTTTTGCATTTGTCTGTTTCTCATGACAGTTTCTAAAATCCAAGGGGAAAGGATTTGATCTCACTGTAGGAACACAAGCTTGTCACTGCCTTTAAAACACTGGATTTTAAAAACAGGTTGAGTTTTCCTGATCATGTTAGGATGTGATGCGTTTGCCAGACTAGTTCCAGTTTGGATGACTATTTAAATGTCTAGTTTTGCTTTCAGAATTTATTATTGCCTTATATCAACCCCCCCGGAAGTTCTAGATCATGTCTTTGCATGTGTAAACTCTTTCAAATAGCTTTAATTGGATTTTGCCTGCTATGGGGGAGGGGCGGGGGGGGAGAATTTGGTACAAACTGAATATTGATTATTTTCTCCCCCACACAGCTTTTTTTTTTTTGAGTAGCCCTTTGTATTTAGAGGGGAAGAGTCTTTTTACACAAGTTAAAATTCGTTTTACAAGAACGTGTTTCATTCTAACACATTTAGTGATTTTTGTTATTTTTTTTTTCTGCAGTTACACCATCTGATTACCAACCTCCTGGTTTTAAGGAGGGTGAATGTGAGGGGATGATATTTGAAGGGGAGCCTATGCATCTGAATGTGGGTGAAGTGCCAACACCTTTTCATATGCTGAAAGTTAAAGTTACAACTGAAAAACAGCGAATGGAAAATGTTGATAAAAGCATCCTAAAGCATGGAGAGACTAATGTGCCTCTCCAGGTGAACAGAGATGATCCAGAAGAAGAGAACCAGGACATGAATGTAAGGGCACAAATGGTTTCCATTTTCCAGAGCTAGTCTGTATGTTTCATGTCAGATCCAAGTATTTCAATACAGTTTGTTCCACTGAGAATCTATCTAATAAGCTCTGGCCCTAAGCATCTGAGTACGAATCCTCTTCCTTACTTGTCTACAGTAAGTGATAGACCTTCTTCTTATTCTAGGAAGATCCTGTCCTGGATAATAAAGTGGAAGATAGGAATAGTGTAAATATTTCGGAAGCTCAAGGTAACATTATGTGTATTTTTCAAGTCTCTTCAGTTTGTGCCTCTTTTTCCTGATGTTACTAAAACAAACATTCAGTTTTCTGATGTAGCACAAATATTTTCACCACTGTATTTAAATTTACAGTCTATTTTCTTCACAGACATTACTATGCTGTTATTTTCTATTGTGGCTTTGTTTTGTGAAGCACTTGGTTAGCACATGCACATTTTAATGTTTCTATTCTAAAATTCTGATCTTCTGTTCCGTTTGATCAGATAGGCTAAATTTAATGGGTCATATATTTAGAATGAAATTTTGTTTGATTTTTCTGTTATGTTTTTACTAATATATTTAACTTCCACATAAAGCTTGCAGAGGTGTTGTGCTCTCAATTTTATTTTTGCAGACTTGGGAAACAGAATTCTCTGTGAAAAAAACAGCCCAGGTCTATTTTTTGTTTAAATCACAGCTGTTTGGATTGTATTCTCACTGCTTCAGGCACTAAATAAGTTTAACACCTGTTTCCTGCATTTAAAAAGTGCATTTGTAAAGTGTTCATTGTGGGAAAACATTAGTGTTAAGAGGGTGCTAGTGTGTTATCAACAGTGTGCTTTTTCTTATATAGATAAAAAATACAAAATTTTATATAGATA